GTGTTATCTAGCTTGTTAATAGGAATTTTCCCATAATACTTGGAACATTTGTAGCATCAGTTGCTTCTTTATCTTAAATGCCTCTGTTTGAAACAATGGGAAGCAATAAAAGAGGAATTTTTTTCCTTGCCTAAAAAATAAAGGTACTAAAATGTAATTTTGTAGATCATTGTGTTAGTACACAGAAGTTTGGTTTTTTTTAAGTGGTGTATGTTTTGAATTGGTTTGCTGCTAGTCTGCTGACACTTTCTGATGTTTGCAAACTCTATTAGCTGTTACTTAGTTTCTCAAAAATAATAGAGCAAAAATTACCAGTTTTATTCTCAAGGTGTAATTTTATCATAAGTAAAGGCTTTTCTGTTGTGTTGATCATTGTCATGCCTTTACCTATCATCTGCAATTTAACATCTTCATAGTACAGGAGATTACCAACAGTTTAGTAGATGTTGATAGTCGTGATAGTGTACAACTGCCACATTTTAATAGCAGAGTGGAGAAAAGTGATGCAACTTTTTTGAAGTCGCATGAGAGATCAGTGGCAGAGGTTAAATTACATCTTGTATCCTGCATTTAAAAATATATGAAAGTATATGTATTTTAAATAAATAAAATATGAAAATATGAAAGCATATGAATATATGCGTATATTATCACAACAATACATTTGAAAAATGATATTTTTTTAATTTCTTATGGAGAATAGAACAGACATTACTTTTCAGCACTGCAACTACAGGAAGGATGAAAACTACATCCCTCTAATTGCTTTCTGGGAAAATGGCTAGTCTAGTTCCTGGTTTATGAAAACAGAATTTTCTGGCAAGCTGACGTGGTATGTTTTTGTCACCAAAGAAGTCTATAGTCTGCAGCAGTCCTTTGCTGTAGTCATGGGAAAGTGCTGTGCTGGTGTTATGGCCCTTCCCGAATTCACACAAGTCTGTGCCAGCGTTAATGGTGCGCAGCTGTGCTCCTGTAAATACAGATTTGGTAGTTGAAGGAGTTGTCGTGTTGAGTGACAGGTTTCGCTAGTTACAAATTTTGTTCACTCTCTACCTGTTTTCAGGGGCAGCAGAAGCAGCAGAGAGTTCATCACCCTGAGCCCATCAGCGCATTTCCTATGCTGTCACAACTCCCAAGCCCAAATGTCATTGTCAGAACTGAGGCATTGTACTGGTGCCATCTGTGCCTTCGGTGGCCCCTGCCACAAGTGCTCTTCTTTCTTCCCCTTTGCTGTAGCTTGGGATCACAGTTTTGCTTCCTAAGCTCTCTATTCTTTTTCATAATGTTATCAGCTTGGCGGAGTTTGGCTTGTCTGATTGTCATCCTGTCACCATTGCCTAGCTCAACGGCAGTACAGTTGCTGGATGGCGAAACAGTCACCCAGCAACAACAGCTGTGCAAACAAACAAGTCAGCATTGATATTCATCAATAGCTTTGTGTAGTCGTGGCATTGAGAAACATCAGAACATGTGCAATCTGTCTGCTTTCTTTGTCCCACAGTATAGCCAGATCGGCTGCTCTGCGCTGATGAGGGTGTGATTGTCATGCCTTCATCTCCTTCCCTTTTTCCTTTGCTTTTCTTTCTTCATTGTGGGCTGTCTGGCTGCTCCCAAGCACGTCTGCCGCGCATCCCATCTGCTCTCGATGAGAGGCGCGCACAGTCCTGACAAGCAGTATTCAAGTAGTACACAGTTCTGGAGATGACAGAAAACAATAATTTGTATTATTAATGGCATGTCACTAATGCTTTCTGCTTCTAAAATGCTGAGCAAAGAAATAGTGTGGAACATTGGCTTGTGAACTTGTTGGTGAGTTGGTTTTTTTTTTTTCCAAAATCCCATGTAGAATCATAGAATCATTTAGGTTGGAAGAGACCTTTAAGATCATCGAGTCCAACCATTAACCTAACATTGCCAAGTCCATCGCTAAACCATGGCCCTAAGCACCACATCCACAGGTCTTTTAAATAACTCCAGGGATGGTGACTCAACCACTTTCCTGGGCAGCCTGTTCCAATGCACAAGTGAATTTCTCTTACTCCACTTAGTAAGAGCATTGCTCCTTAAGGTTTGTCTTATAGCCTGTAACTTTTTCAAGACACAGTGTGTTTTCCTTAAAGAAATGAAGCATCTTTTTTAGAAGTTGTGTTCGTTCCTTCCTGGTATCAGTGGCAAGATTCCTTAAGATAAGAGGCAGAGGTGTATGATAAAATTGTTATTCACTATTACTTTATGTCTTTCGAGGAAAAAATATTAGCAGACTGTCAAGAAAAAACTAATTCTAAAGTCAGAATAAATTTAAGGTCAAAATTGCCCTTGCCTCTTATGCATGTCTATTGGTCAGCTTATGACGGTGCAAGTAACTCTTAGAACATCTTTCTGTGATGTGTAGTCACTTCCATCAGGATCTTGCCTTGTGACGGCTCCCCCACCAAATTGAGCAATCATAACGGGATCTCTCTGTGGGTGACGGAAGATGGTGATACACACCATAGGCATGTATAGGCAGTGAAACAGTTTTGTTTGTGGAATCACCTCTAGCTTTGGGTCAAAGATTTGTGGAGATACGTGATCAAAAGTGCAGTTACGAATTAGTATGTATTCGCTTTTGCCAGTCATATTAACTGTCATGTGTAGCAATTCCACTTTTGGCACGCTTACTGTGTTGAAGCTAACACAGCTGTCTCGCGTTACTGCCGCAGGGATTCACAGCCTGAAGCCGTGGTGAACAAGAGGAACTGTTTGCCTGCAACTCAGAATTCACTGTAAGCAAGCGCTAGGTGTCCGAAGTGTGACCAAGGTGGACAGGATTTTACAGAGCTGGCTAAAAGGAATTGTGCATGTGTGTAGGGAGGGAAGTGATTCATTTTGGCAGTTTGTTTCATGGCCTTGTAAGTCTTTTCCTTTAGTAATGCCCTGCTTACTCAAAATGTCACAAAGAGAAAAATAAAGGCTGGAAGCCTGAGTCAAAGGAAGGAGTGAGGCTAGGGAGACTTTTAGCGGGGAGAAAACATTGAACAGCTTTTGGTCAGCAAATGAGACTGGCTCAGGGTCCATGTTTCTGTTCTGTGGTTGCTAGAAACTGCTTTGTCCGTTACCCACATTAACTGCTTGTGAAAGCTGTTATTCCATAGTTGCTGCGCTGTGCTGTGTTCAAATAGCTGACTGACATGGAAGAAGTCAAGAATGGACTTGTGTATTTGTCTTACATAGCTTTTGTAAGAGCCTACCTGCCTTCCTACCTGCCTTCCTACCTGCCTTCCTACCTGCCTTCCTAAAAAATGGGTTGGGACTACTTGAGAGAATAGTATTTGTTATGCTGCAAAACATTGTGCATGGGATCTGTAACATAAAGTATATAATCACAGAACTTGTATTTGATTAGGTGTGATTAGTGGTACAATGGTATTAGCTTCGTGCATTAATTCTTGTAGTTGTGCTTTTCAGATTAGCAGATTCAAAACTTATCAAGTCAGTATGTCAGTGCTTGAAAAGTTGTGTCAAGGAATTTAGCACACAGACCAGGGAGGAGGGATGAGTACAGCAGTTTATCACCTTTGGAAAGAGTTGTTAGGCTGACAACAGTGTGTAACAGATAGGTGACCTCTTCCTGCAAGATCTACCAGGTTACTGAGTTCAAGGTATCCTCTAATGGGTTACAAATGTAGTTACAGTTGAGCAGTGTACTGTATCACCGTCTGGCATTTTCTACTGTGTATGCTCCTTTTTATTTTAAACTGGTCCCTGGTGGTTTAACTGAGTGGGATTCCTGACCCCCCAGCATTTTTAATGTGCATTGTCAGTAGGTTCCAGCAGCACTGCGTGGACAGTCACATATGAAAACAGAATGATCAGGTGGGATAGATAATTCAAGGATGAAGGTTTTGTGTGTATCCGTGAAAAATATCCTGCAGCAATTTTCTGTGATTTCCTTTAATATTCATCTCTGAAGGCTACTAATCCAGTCTTGACATTTCAGAAGAGTACTCAAGCAATAAGCAACCTTTGCAAAACATGGCCGTGATTGGAAAATCTCATATACAGATCTTCTCTGTAGCCCAAGAACATTTTTGTGAGAGAGGAAGAATTATAGTCAAGTTATGCAAATTATATTCATGTATGATTTTGCAAGTATCTTGTTAAAATACCTGGTAAATTTTTAGCTCTTTCTCCTTCGTGTTTGAACATGGCTATTACTATTTGAATTCTGCAGACTGGAGCAGTGAAAAGTTTCATTGCAGGTGGCCTATAAATAACTCCTGCAGTAGGCTGTGAATAAAAGTGGCAACTGTGTAATGAAGCAATTTGTCACTGACTGCTAAAACGCCAGAAGTTAAATGAATGACTGAAAATACAACTGCTGGACTTGTTAGCAAATTCTTGCAGTTGATAATCAGGATGACACTTGCTTTATGTAAAGAGAACCCCTCTTTATCTCTCGTAAGTGTCACCCCTTTTGTGATACTGGCAGGATCTAGTTTTTGAAACAGATCTGCTAGTGAGCCTAATATTAAGGAATAATAAAAGCAGAGGAAATGAAGTGATACTAAAGGAAAGTGGAAGACCTAAAGTTACGCAGAATTTTTCCCTGTGTTGTTCCTTGTTACCATTTCTGGTGTGTTTACTTTGTGTGACCATATGCACTGTAGCCTTGCATAGGTAAGAGGGACACTATCTGTCCTTCCATGGGGCTCGCTGGAGTGCCTCTGTAGAGGGATGAGCAGGTGTAGGGCGAGGGGAGCTCGTGGTGTCCTGCTCATTTCCAGGGAATGGAGTTTCACAGGGAATCGTACTATTTGTGCTGACTCTCTCATGGAGGTTTTTCACTTACTGAGAGGTTTTGTCTTAGCCCTTGAATTCTGGGCAGTTGTCTCCAGAAATACTGTGTGTGAGGTTTGCTCATTGTGATCATACTGCTTGTGCTAATCTGGTGGTTTTTGGGTTTTGCGCTCTCTCTCTCTCTCTCTCTCTCTCTCTCTCTAGATGAGAGACCCTTGGAGCAGCAAAATTTTTCCTTTATCTCAACGGACTCAAAGGTGCACCAAAGCATATCAGGCAGCAAGACACAAATGGCCTTAGCAAGAAGTACTTTGGAGTCCCAAGAAAGTAATTTCCTTCAAATAGTTTTAACATCAGTTACCACTCCCTTCGATGTGACTTTATTTAACCAAGGAGAAATGGTCAGGATTTCAGAAGGGAGAAGTACGCCGTTGGTACATGTCTCCATAACAAGCAATGAGGCATTCTTAAGTGACGATGAATTTATTAGCTCATTTCCAAAGGCACAGTTGACTCCTCCGCTGAAGTCTTTTCCTGTTTTAACAGATCATCACTCAGTTAATACAGTAGAGCCACCAAGAGAAATGTTAGAAACTGTGTTGCTAACACCTTCATTATCTGTCCTTTTTTCACCATATCTCTCAAAAACAACACAGCAAAAGACTCCGTTGAGCACTGTCCCTGAACATGGTGACACTCTTACAGAACTGAAGCCTTTTGTACCAGATAGTGAAATGCTGACTCCAAGCAGAGGCTTGCTGCTGTACCCTCCAAATACAGCTTCTTATTTCACTTCCATTCCTTCAGAGGCAGGAGTTGCAGTGTGGGAAAACATAAACGCAAGTTTAACGGCTCTGCCTTTTGGGGCTGCTTCAGAAGGGTCGCTTCATCTCAAGCTGCTGGATAAAAATAGCCCCATGACCCCAGATGCCATGGCACAAAGTACAGACCTGAATGGTGACATTTACGCCGATGCAAGTAACAGGGTAGCAGAAACTCTCAGTCTAAGGACCTACCCTAGTCCAAGCATTCTCCAGGCCACACCAGCTTCAGCAGCCAGTGCTGAGCCTGCTTTGTTTCCTATTAGTCTTCCATTTGTGTCTTTCCCGCTTCACTCAGCTGCCATTTCCATAGACTCCAATACGGTTCTTAATGCCAGCCTGTTTACACATGAATTCTCCAGTACACCACCAAATTTGCCTGCCAGTTCAGAAATACCAAGTCAACCGGAGCTTGTTAGTGAGCTCATGAGTCCAGTGCCTTTCATGAGATCATACAGTTCTTGTCTGTATTGTGACTCAGTTTCACTTCTGCCAGACGCAGGCTTTTCCCCAGAACATGATGTGGGCTCAGGCGATTATGTTGAAACTTTGTCCATCAAAGCCTCTGAAGCACAAGGCATAACTCCATTTACAACTATAATTACTGATGGGTATGAATTAGAGGAGCCAACACCTGAGATTTTTGATACTTCTTTTCCATCAAGACCAGTTGTTTCATTTTCTTCAAGATTTGCAGAAATCCCTGATTCAAGCATGTTTTTATTAAGCACTACAGACACTGTCCTTAACACTAGAACACCCATAACAATTTCTGCTTCCTATTATCAGCTCCCTGGAGGAACATCACAGAACATCTCTGCCCAGTTTTCGCTTCCTATTATGGAAACAGTTTCGTTGACACCAAGCACTTATGTAGAACTTCCTAGTGCCACGACCATTCTGCTTGACTCTGCATTCATCCCAAGTGAGCCAGTAGCATCGTTTGCAGTCAGCCGTACAACTTTGCTGGAGTCTCTAGAATTAATGCCATCAGAATCTGTGGTTTTGCTTGACAAGACATCTACAAGGGAAGAACAGTCTTTAAATATTTCAAATTTTCCTTCCAGTCTTCTGTCAACACCACTTCGTATTGAACCTAGCTACTTGTCGTTACCATCGGCTGTGCTAAGTTCTTACTTTGTTACGCAAAGTGATTTATCAACACTCTTACCTCAGACCTTGCTGACTGGGACATCAGTACTTTCTGAGGATGTTTCCAGCTGGGAGTCAGCTACCACTGTCAGCTCTGCCACTGGTGCTGAGGTTTCTCAGTTCCCTTTTGGCCAAACATCATACTTTCATTCACATGCATCCTCTTTTCCAGGTGCACATGTTCCTGAAATAATGCCATCATCAGGGTTTTACTCTGAGTCATCTGTGTTTCTGGAAGCACCTTCAGTATTGGCAGCGGGCTCTGAAGTTGTGTTTACCTCACCTGTTACAGGAACTACCTCTCAGTTGGAACCTTCACTCTCCGTCTCTCACTCCGTGGTTCCTACCTGGACGCTGCCCGCTTCTGACACCCAGTCTGTTACCAGCAGCATCTTGCTCAATGAAACAAATCTGATCTCTTTGTTTACTACCTTTCTGGCAACTCCTGTCTTAAATGTTTCTTCATCTCTGCTCTCAACTGATACAGCTTCTGATGAGGATATTGGTGCTACAGTTAACCCCACGCTGCTTTTAACATCTCGCAGCGAGGGCAGTGCCCACACAGCTCTTCCTCCTGCAGACACCAACAGCGTGATGCGTTCTCCTACAGCATCTCCATCTGTGATCACATCGTTTGTTCCCACACAATTTCCTCCAACTTCTAGCCCTTCCACTGGATATGAAGTTCCAGCGAGAAGCAGTGTAACTGCTGGTATCACCACTGTCCCCACAACCACTGCCACCAGTGCCACGGGCAGCCGCAACACAACTGCTGCAGGCAGCTTGGGGACGTTCTCTTCCACCCTTCTGGCAACCACTACTCCATCTGAGCCTGTGGTTGCAACCTCTGCCGTGACCACTACCAAGCAAGCCTACGTCTGCGACATCACGGTCCCTGATGCTTACTTAGTCACTGCGGGTAAGATATGCCTAATATTTTTACTTTGTTTTTCAGAAGCCACTGTAATGTGAACCCCTAGCAAAATTGCAGGTGTTGTATTAGCTAAGTGAACTTTTCAAAGAAAATGGTGTAAATTTAGACAAACAGCTGTAAAAGCGTTGATTTATCACTTACTCTTGAAAATAATAGAGTTCGCTTGAACAAAGTCTGTTGTGATAGTGAGTTACGTATATGTTACACTGCACAGAGAATGAAATTGTCTTCTAAAGTTGCTGATGCGTATATACAAGTATACCAAATTAGAGGTTGCTTTATCATTTCATGGCTTCTAAGTGAACATTGCTGTCATGGTACTGTTCTGCCAAACTATTAAATGTTCTGACTGAGTAAGTTTCTCCTTTCAGTTGTTGCTGCTGTTTGTAAAAAAACCTGCATGTGAGGTAATGTTGCAATGTGAAAGAGGATAATTGCTTTTAAAAATGTTTGGGTTTTGTTACTGTTTTTATAACTTCACCATACTAGCTTATGTTTATATTTTCATTCCTCCCATACTTACTTCAGTTGGATTTGGTGTGTTTGTAACCAGAAAAAGTGACATTAGTGTGTTTCAAAATTAATTTTCTCATCATCTGTGTTTGCTTTTTTGGTGTTTTCCTATCTCTTTCTAGCTTGTTAACTAAACAATACCCTGGACTAGTGACCTAGTCCAGGGCAGCTGCAGAAGTGCTGTGTTTTCTGTAGTAAGCAACACATTTTGCCCTTAAGATTTACTTGTAATATGTAAAGCAGAATGAGCATAATCTCATCCTCCAGATATGAAGTTGAGCTGGCTATGCTGGTGATGAGGAAGGTTTTTTTTAACCTGTGATTTGAGTAGTTTTGTAGGCAAGTTACTGATGGAAAGTGAAAGCAGGATGACAACATGACACTTCAGTTGTTTCCTTGACCATAGTCACAGTCTCAAATGTGACTGTAACAGACATAACATCCATAGGGATGTGGGGTTTTCAAAGCAGTTTCTTACTGGATGTACATCCCTTTCAGTAATCAATGTCAAGTTTGTTTACTTTTCTTTAAGAGAAAAGCAGATGCATATTTTCTGCGGCTTTTTTCTGACCTCATCTGCATTCCATGCGTTGCCTACAAAACTTCAACCGTACTAGGATAGCAGGCTCGTTGTGCACAGGTCGGACTGGATGTGCTGTGACTTTCAGATCCAATTTGAATGCCTCAGTGGCTCTTTAGAAGGTTCTTTTATTAGAATTCTAAAGACATTAGATATGGAAAAACAAAACAAGAGAGAAAGTAAACCTGGAGTTCCTTAAACTGTATGTATGTCACTTTTTAGGATACAGTCACACCTTTACCTGTTTCCTTGCCATCATATCTGTTTGATGCAGTTGATCTCATTGCCTGCTTTTTCATGCATTACACAACTGAAAATGCAGCTTTGCACCAAATCCCAGGAGATGAAGCTAAAATGTATTTACTGACTGACATTAATTTCCAGTGCTGGCCCGAAGAGCTGTTCTACAAAATGTCAGTGAATCCATCAGAGAAGTGCTCAGAGTTCAGTTCAGGCGATCAGTAGAGCTAGAGGTAAGTGGTACAAAGTGTGTACAAGTACTCTTTGATCGATACAGTACAATAGTGGTTTTAGTTCAGAGGCTGAAATGGTGATTTAAAAACAACCCATGTGGTACTATATCAGAGAGACGTTTATTCTAACTTAAATGTTAGTCATGTTTGTTTTGGTTTTTTTTCGAAGTGAATATGACATCAGCTTTTTTACTTTTAGAACGTCTTCACTTTCTACGACAGACCTTTCTTGTTTTTGCCAGAGGTGAGCAAGCAGTGCCCAGTCTCTACTGCTCACCTCCTTTCACTGGTGAATTGAAACTGAACTGAAAAGCTTTTACTGTTTGAAATACCTGTTAAAGAGTTTTGTTTCTTCTGCTAGCTGATTATATACTTAGCACCTTAAACAAAACAAAACCATCTACAAGGAAGGACGGGAGGACTACCCTGGGAACTACAAGCCTGTCAGCCTGACCT